GGGCTTCGGTGGGGCCGCGGGGGCCCGCCCCCCCCCCCCCGGGCTCCCGCAGCGCCCCCCGCCGTGCCAGGCTTTCCCAGGGTGCCCTGGCAGCTTCCCAGCCCCAGGAGCAGGGATGGGGCCGCTCAGCCCCTCGAAGCCCTTGCTCCTGGGCACAGGGTGGGGACACAGCGGACACCATGCCCTTGCTCTCTGTGTTTCTTTCTTCCCGTGGTTTCTAGCAAATTTTTTTTAAAGGAAATAAATGGGAATATTTGCCACAGACCCACACTCTGTACTGTCCAGCCACCAGCAAGCCAGCTACCAGGCAGTGCCACCCCCTTCCTTGCACACCCCTGCCCGTCCCCACCTTGCTGGCAGACACCAGCCTGGGGTGGGGGGCTGCCAGCACCCACCTCGGCCCTGCACAGCCAGGACAGGTTGTGTTGTACCCACACATGATGGTCCCCACACGTGGAGGAGCTGCTGGGGACAGCGGTGACGTGCTAGGGTGGCCTGAGGCCAGGGGCCGTGATGAGGTGTGTGCCAGCAGAGGCTCACTCCGCCGTGGTTGGGGTTCAAGGGATGCCGGATGGTGGGGAAGATGCTTTCCACATGAGAACAGCTTCGTGCCCTGAAACTTCCATTGGCCAAGCCAGGAGCCAGGAACAGCAGCCGAGACAGCTTCCAGCTGGCAGCACCGCTGGCGCGGGGGCAGGCAGCCACCACCGCCGGGTCATGACCAGCTCCGCCACCACCGAGCCGGGGCACAGCCAGGGGACACGGGGCAGCCACATGAGCCCTTCAGCGCAGGCTGGGGCGAGGCAGCCATGACCAAAAACACACGAATCGCCGGCACGGATGGCAGAAAAGCACCGTCCCTGTCCCCACCTGCTGCGAAGGGCACGGGAGCCCCACAAACCATGGCCCCGAGAATTTGGGGGGCTACAGAGCAGGAGCGCTAGGGCACACAGGGCTGTTTTTCAGGTGCTGAGAGATGACGTGAAGCAGAGGAGCCAAAGGCAGGTCCCAGCCGCCGGCCCGCGCCCCGGGGCAGGGCAGGAAGCCCCCAGCCCACGAGGGCCGGCAGCGCGGCCACATCACAGCCCTGCACAGGGCCGGGAAGGCAGCCCTGCCCGTGGACCGACAAGGGCCCCGCTGTTCGGGGCTGCAGCTGCTCCGCAGAAGTAAACAGGGTCCCTGCCAGCACATTCCTGCCCGTGGCCCTGCCCGACCCCTCCTGCCTGCGGCCCCCACCCACCCATCGGGGACACCCACCACCTGGGAGGGGTGGACATCCCCATGGTCGTGGGGACCATGCGTGGCAGCCCCCAGCATGTACACCCTCCCCTGGCACGCAGGGGCACCAAGAGCCAGGCAAATAAAATAAATGGTATTTATTAGCAAAATAAAGGACAGAAACTCTCGCTCGCAGGGCCCTGCCAGGTGGCCAGGGCCGCCCCACAGCCCCACGTGCTCACTGCCGAGCTCCCCACATCCCGGCAGCTGCTCCCGCTGCAGCAGGCAGCACGGCGGTTCCTGCCCTGGGCAGGGCGGGCAGTTGTTGCCTGATGGCAACAGCGTCCGCATGGCACCAACCAGCCTGCGGGCACCCTGCTCAGCCCCTTTGGTAGAGCAGCCCAGTGCTTTGGGATGCGGTGCAGGATCCGTCCCCGCTCTGAGATGCGGGGTGCCCTGGCTGCCCACAGAGAGGGGCCTGGGCACCCCAGGGGGTTCCCAGCAGGGGTAAGGTACAGCCTCCCGCCTCACTCCCGGCCCTCCCAGGCATCCTCCCGCTGCTTGTTCTCCAGGCGCTTCCTCTCTGCAGAAACAAGAGGAGGTCAACCCCAGGTCCACATCACCCCACAGCCACCCACTTCCCCGTGGAGGTGGCCAGAGCCCACCCTGGCGCAGCCCCCTCCCACTGAGCACCCTGTGAGAAGGTGCATCCACAGGGAGGGTCCTCCCCCTACCACAGCACCCCCGGCATCCAAATCTCACCCCGGGCTTCTTGCAGCTTCTTCCGCTCAGCATCTCGCTGCGCTGACGTCAGGTTGCTGCGTACCCCGAGGGCACCGATCACCAGCCGCCTGGCCAGGGCAGCCGATGTTTCGGGGCGCTCCTTGGCCGGCTGCAGGTAGTCTGGGTGAGCAGAGACGGGGGACATTAGTAGGGACATCCCAGGAGGGACAGGGCAGCCGGCATGGCTCCACAGCACTTAAGCGTCCCTGTCCCTCCCCATTTACTGGGATGAAGATGCTGCAGCACAAGCACCATGGCACAAGCCGGCACGGGGCAGCATCACTCACCAGCATATGCCCTGGCTTTGGCTTTAGAGGCGCGGGTGCCCTGGGAGAGTGGGCGAGTCTTCACCATCAGGTGCTTGGTGCTGAGGGCATCGCGTGCTGCGGGGAGAGAGCAGCGGCATCTGTGTGCGGGGCCAGCCCCATGCCCACAATCTGGCCATGGGAGAGGCAGGGATGCCTCCCCTCTGCCCATCCCTAGCCAAACTGGGACCAGTACCTGTTATGGGGCTGGAGAAGATGCCCAGGGCGTGCGTATCGTCCACCCACTTAATATCAAAGCCTTTTTTCCTGCCAGAGAGAGTGAAGCTCAGCAAGGCATCAGCACCAGGTGGGCAGGGGTCCGGAGCGGAGCCCAGGCAGGGGACCCCAGCGCAGGGGACGGGGCATTGCTGGCAGACTCACTGATAGCTGCAGAAGACACGCAGCAGGTCCTCGGTGCGGAAATCCGAGGGGAAATCATAGATCTCGATGACGTGGGGCAGCTCGTCGTCGCTGAGGTCAGGTGCGGCAGGCTCGGCCCCATAGTAGTCGAAGCGGGGTGACTGACGGCTCTCCCGGTGCTTCTCGCCCCCCGAGAGCTGCAGGGGTGGGAGAGGCACAGCACTGAGCTACCCATGTCCGCCCGCCCCGTGCCAGCTCCCAATCCATGGCAAGTGCTCCCCGGAAAGCAGTCCGGCCCCCGCTCCCCACCCCAGCACTGCAGATGGATTCATGGCATTGAGATATTAGGAGTTATCGACCAGGGCTCTCATGCCATGCACTTGCTTTTCCCATTACCAGCATCCTTTCACTTGCCGCGCTCTGCGGTCCCGCCGGGGACACGGTGGGAATGGCACTGGTGAGGCAGCACATGCACCCCCAAGCACACCCCTCCTTCCACAGTGACGTGCTGACCAAAAATACATTTTGGGAACAACAAGGAGCAGGACAGCAAGGCCAGGAGGAAAGACTAATGTCTGCCCACCGCACAGGAGCACCAGGCTCGGCATGCCCCAGCTGTAGCACACACGCCAGAGCAGCCCGTCAGCGCCCTGGATGCTGAGATGGAAAAGCCAGAGCTCCCCCGAGGAGCAAGTTCTGGTGGTTAATCACTAAAAATTTATGTCTTATTTCTCATTTGAATTTGTCTGGCTTCGCTTTCCAGCCAGCGGTTCTTGTTCTGCCTCTCCGCTGGATTAAAGAGCCCTTGGTCCCTGCTACCCTCCCCGTGATGGCACTTACTCACGCTAATCAAGTCCCTTCTCAATCTTCTTGATAAGCTAAACGGGTTGTGCACGTTTAGTATCTCACAGCGCGGCACTTTCTCCAGCCCTAAAAGATGACGGCTGTAGCGCTTTTCTACCTCTCCCATTTTTCAACCTTCCTTTTAAAACACAGGCAGCAGTCACCCACTGCCATGACATGGGGGGCACAGCCACCCCCTGCTCCCCTCCGCATCGGTGCCAGCGGCCACCACTTGCTGCACCTTTTCTTTGCAAACCACGCCATGCCGGCAGCCGAGGGATTCACGGCCTCGCTCCAGCTGTGACACCAGGCCAGGCTCAGCCCGAAGGCGGCAGCAGCTCCCCCGTCCCCCCAGGAGCACAGGGCCAGCGCGGTGCCGGGGAGCGGGTACATAACTCAGCCAGGTTCCCAGCCCGATCCCCCAAGTGATCGTAGCAGAGCACACCACGGCTGGAAGGTTAGAGTCCATAAATCCCAGCCAGCTCAGTCAATAAAAAGTGCTCATTCCGACAATTTTATGGGGAAGATGGATTCATGGCAGGTGAGGGGGTGCTGCCAGGACGGCTGGATGCCGGCGGAGGGGAGAGCTGAGTTATGGAGCTCACGGGACAGGCCAGCACTGCCAGCAGAGCCACCTGTCCCGCCACCATCGCCCATTAACTGAGCGCACCCTGTGTGGGGCTGCACACTCATCCAGCACCCCCTGCCCGCTCGGGGGAGGTGAAGTAGCTGTCCCCAGGCAGGATGAAGCCCTGCGGTGCCGCTTGAGGGAGCAGAGCACTCGGGTAGTGCCAGGCGCCGGGAAGATGATTAGAGAGCAGGAGCGCTGAGTGCTGGAGCGGTCCTTGACCTTCACAAATCACTGAGTGTGGTGGGGCAGCAAGGACGGGAGCCGTCTGGAAGCCGGGCTCAGTTGCGCAGCAGGCTCGGCTCAACAGGTCCCCCCGTGCTGCCAGCCTGGGCACGCAGGGTGCCCACAGCTCCGCAGCCCCCCAGCCATGGGGTGGTACAGGGAGCGGGGTCCAGGGTACAGCCCCCAGCCCTGGCAGGTACCCGGTTCTGGGAAGGGTCTGCTGATGGACGGACAGATGGACAGCAGACAGGAGGCTGTGGGAAATGAAGCCTGTCCACCATGCCTCGCTGCTCTCTAAAGATGCATCCTCGCCGGAGCATGTTAGAGGGGTCTGTGGCCACTCGCTTATACTCCCACTTGCTCGCCAAGAGAGCACCTCCAGAGCGGGAGAGGAGGCGTGCGCCAGCACGCACGCACCGCAGCCCCCGGCACGCACACACCGCCGCTCCCACCCAGCCACGCCGGCTGATGGAGAGTCCACCGAGCCTGCAAGGAAATGGTTGCAGTGCTTAATTACCCTCTGCGTTCAAACTGATTTCTACTCTGAATTTGTCTGGTTTCAGCTTCCAGCCAATGGATCTCGCTATGGTGTTTTTTCCTGCTAGATTAAAGAGCCATCCGCTATCAGAAATCTCTCCTCCACACAGAACGTCATAAATCTTGCTCTCTGCTGGCTATCCGCAGCGCATAAGGATTCGGTTACGAGGAAGAACGCTACTCATTTTCTTGTCCTTTTTGTTAATTAACAACAGCTCCATCTCTCCGAGAGCCTGCACCCTCCCTGAGCAGCCACATCTGCCTGCCGAGAGCTCGGAGGGCTCGGGAAGCACCAGGCTTGGCATGGGAATCTGCAGGGGGGTGAAGATGGCAACTTTTAATTGATAAATCCCTTTTTCAGGTTCTTATTCACCCATTTTGGGAAGCTCCCTGGAAAGCTCAACTTTGCTCAGAGCTTGTGCACAGGGAAACTAACACAGATGCTCCAGAGCTGTTCATGTTAGCCCCAGCACGGCACAACCTTGCCCGCAGCATCCTATGGCTGCACCACAACACAGGCCCTCCCTGACCGGGCTCCCCAGTGGGGCCAGGTAGCCACTCCGCTGTGCCTGAGGACAAAGCCGTGCCCCCCCTGCCAGCCCACGGAAAGCCAGTGCCAGCGCCATGTGCGCCAGCTGCTGTCGGAGCAGCAGCGCCGTCCCTCTCACACCGGCGCTCCCCACAACCTCCCGGCTGGAGGGTGGGGGACCGCAGCTGGGGGGAGCACAGTCAGGCGGGGATGGGCTCTTCCACATCTCCCTCCGAGCAGCCCCAGAGACAAGCCCTGCGTGCCCCACAACCTGTCCCAGCCCCACGCCAGGCTTGGTGATGGCACACCAGCCCGAGCACAGCCCCATAGATGAGGTGGGTACCAGTGCTCCTCAGTAACGATGCTCTTGAGTTAATCTCCTCCCTTCCCAGAAGCTGTTATCAGGCACCATCCACCACTTCACACCCTGCTTCCAGCCCGGGGTGGACGGACGCTGGCTGTAACAATATTAGCGCTGTTTGTTACTTTGGGCACATTAATGTCATTTGGAAAATTACCGGTTTGACGCTACTGATTTAAAATGCAATAAGGGATATCCAGCCTCGCTGCAGAAGCAGAGCTTTCCCCATGAACGGCAGGGAAACGGCGTGGGTCCCGGCGCTAAGCAGCTAATTGTAGTAAATTCAGCCACACACATGCAGGAGGGGATTGGTAATGAGCCACAGCTGATTAAGAAGCCGTAGTTTCGAGGAAACATCCCGTTGCTATTTCAATGGGACCCCATACGTCTCAGCGCATTTCTTTATCACCAGCCCTGGTTTCACAGGGGTGCAGTTGTGGTTTACAGCACTCAAGCAGGTTTTACTGGGTGCACTTTATGTACTACAGAGGGAAGATCTCCCCAGCCTTCACCGGCACCATGGGATGGGAACCAGTCGGGGGGAAGGTGGAGGTCCCAGCCATTTTGGCACTGCAGGCAGCTCATGCCCTTGGGGATGGCTGGCGGTGACAGCACCCCCGGGTGCAGCCCACACCCCCCATGCACCCACCCTGGAGGACACGGGAACAGCTGACCCCCACGGACCCCCATCCCCTCATCCCAGCAGACAGCAGCCACCATCCCTGCAAATCCCCGCGGGTGCCGGCTCGCACGACGTACCTCCTCCAGCAGACGCGGGTCCAGGCAGTCCCCATCGTCGTTGAACAGCGCGTCCCAGCTCTCCTCAGTGCCTGGGCTGGCTTGGCTCAGGGTCCCAGCACTGGCCTGCTCTGCCTTTGGGGAGCTGCTGCAGAGACCTCCCTCTTCCTCCTTGGCCTCCTGGCTGCACTGGTGCTGCTGCGGTGGGCCCACATCCTCGCCTGCCCCCGCCGGCTCCTCACCCCAGGCCATGGGTGAGAGCCCCTCTACACCACGGCACAGCAGCTCCAGGGGTGGCGGGGGCTTGCGGCTCTCCGGGGATGCCCTCTCCCATGCACTGCTTGCCAGCTCCTTGACAGCATTCACCAGTCCACTCTCAGCCCCAGCGCTGCTGTCTGTGCCGGCAGAGGTGCTGCCCACTCCCTCTGCAGCGGGCACTGGGACACCCTCCCCACCGGGATGCCCAGCCTCGGCAGCATTCTCCTCCTTGCTGGGTGGGAGCTGGGATGGGCTGCCCACATCCTGCCTCGGGGTATTCTCCCCGGGGAGCACCGGCGTGTCGCCCACACCACCCCTCGAGCACCCAGTTTCACAGCCAGTTCCTGGTACATCCGAAGTGGTCTCCCCAGCAAGCTCAGCCATGCCTCCCTGCCTCTCCTCTTCCTCCTCCTCTGCCGGCACCCCTGCAGCACAGCCCTCGCTCTGCCCTGCCAGGAGAATCCCACCAGGCTCCCTTTCCTCTCCCTGGGTTTTTGGACCTGCAGCCTCCCACGTCAGGCCAGGCACGCTGCCCTGGTCGCCTGTCCCTGCCGGCAGCAGGACACCCTCTCCTGGGCACTGGGAGAGGACCCCAGCTAGATCCGGGGCGCTGTCTCCCAAATGCTCCAACACACCACTTGGCCCTGTCTGACACACCAGCTTTGGGCTAGCCGGGGGCGTTGGGCTAGCAGGGCCGCCTCCAGGCTTGGGGGTAGCCTCCATGGCCCCAGGCTGGGCACTCGGTGGGCATGGAGGGTCAGGCTCGGTCCTCATCATGCAGTGGCCGCAGCTGAGCTCCCCAAGTCTTTCATCATGGCATGCTTTGTCCTGCCTGTCCCAGGACCGGGCAACAGCTGGATCCAGGCACGGCTCCCGCACACTGGGTGATGCTCCCAGGCTCTCTGGTGCGATGGGGCAGCTGCCTCCCGGCCTCCGGCAGCGCCCAGCAGAGGCTGTCCGCAGCTCCTTCAGGCTCTCATCCACCTTGCTTTCCCTCCTCGCCGCTCTGCCCGCCTGTGTCCTGGCACGGGGGCTTCGCCCCTGCCCCTCACCGCTGCCTGGGCAAGTGTCCTGCACCAGGCGGTGGTTCTCAGGCTCCCGGCGGTGCCTGGCCGGCGTGTCACCCTCCGCTTGCGCTGCTCTCTCCCGCCGCGCTTTGGGCACGTAGAGGGCCATGTCGGGTTTCCTGCGGCGTGGCCGGCCGCCCTCCGCCTCCTGCTGCATGGTGCCACCGCTGCCTGCCGAGGAGAGACAGCGTCACTGCCCTGCCCGCGTCCCAGTGGCCCCACAGCCGGGCACATGGTGGGCAGCCCCTGCCCGGGTCGGTGAGTCAGGGTCCCGGCCTGGCCCCCACCCTCGCTCCCATGACAGCCAGCACACAGCAATGGCTAGTGGAGCCCCAACACTCACCCCACGGTAGTAGCTCTGCAGATGGGGTTTGGCGCCCAGAGCACCCCGCATACCCAGCCTTTGGTGAGATGTACCGGGCTACGGGGGAAGCAGGGAAACCCTGCCAGCATCACTGAGGCGCCTGCCCTGCTCCGGCAGCTGCTGCCTGGGACCCCCCCAGCCCCAGGGGCCAGCAGCCGCAGCCGCAGCAGGACACAGAGCCCTTGCACCATTCCTGCATCAAAAACCTTAGAGAAGGCCGCGGCAACCACGGAGCACCAGAAACCAAACCCCAGCCCAGGGACACCCTGACACGGGACCATGGCTGCCACCCCGGCACGCCGCAGCCCCGCTCACCTGCTGCCCCGTCCCGGCAGAGATTTATTTTTCATCATCTTTGGCAGAAGCAGGCACACCACGAGCTGCCAGGCCCCCCTGCCCCTATAAATATGCATCAGGCAGGGTTTATGGAGACGGATGGTGTGGGGGGCTGCGCTGCGGTTAAGGAGAAGGCAGAGCGGGGCTGGGCCGGAGCCCCGTGATTAATCATTGCCCACTCCGTTTAGGGGGATTCATCATGGGCCACTGTCAGGTAAATCACTGGAAAAACACCTCTTCAGTAATTAATGTGAAGTGACGGATGGACAGCCCCCGGGCCCATTAATCTGGACCATCAGCGCCGACCAAGATTATGAATGTCAGGATGCATAAACTGCCGGCGGATCAATAGGGCCAGGAACCCATCCAAGGCTCTCATTTCCGAGGCACCTCCGGTACATTAGCCTCCCCTCCACGCAGCCCCTGACCAAGGCGCGAACGCTCCCCGCGGCCCCTCACCGACAGCCGGCAGCGGTGCCGGGAAGGCGAGGGGAGGCCAACCGCCGGCTGGAAAGTGGCTGGGGCTGCCCGTGCCGCACGGCATCATCCCCTTCTCCTGACGGACGGATGGATGGACGGCTGCCTCGGCATGATGGATGGGTCTCTCATGGCTCTCTGGAAACCGCCGGCAAACCCGGGCAGGGCAGCGCTCCCCAGCATCACTGCGGCGCCCATGCCTGCGCCTCATGCCCACCTCCATGGCACGAGGTGCAGGCACGGGTGCCACGGTGATGCTGGGCACCATCCCGGGGCTGCCCCAACCATTTTTCTGTCTCCACAGCTCTTGTCATTTTTTTTCCCCCCTCTTTGATACACTAATTTTGCTGGCAGAACGATCCCCTTTATCTTTATCGACCGCGAGAAAGGAACGTATCCTACAAACCCTCCAAGGTCTGGATTAGTCATTTTTCAACACCAAGGCGTTATACCTTTTCTCACCAAGCGGCAGCACGGGCACCAGAGGGGAGGGGGGCACTGGGAGGCCCCCCCAGCACCACCACTTCCAGCCACGCAGAGCTTCCAACTGCACCAAAGTGCATCCTGCTAAAGGACTTTTCCCAGCCAAGCCCAGAGTCTCAGCCCGTGGGACATCACCAAACACCTGGGGGAGATCACTGATCCCCCCAGGCTCTGCTTCCCAAGGATTTCCAGCATGGGGAGCAGCCAGGAACAGCATCGCTCCACACACATCCCGAGTCACCTCCAAGAAGAGCCTTCACACGCAGGATTTATGGGCTCCTCGAAAGCTTGCCGTTCACCTTGCCTCACCCTCCAAAGCAGATGGTGCAGCATTATCCAGACGGCTGCTGCTGGGAGCATCCTCTCCCCGCACAGCCCTGCCTCTGCCTGCTGCCCGCTGCCAGGGAAGAGCCGCTTCCCGCAGCCCAGGCAGAAGCACGGCAAGGCGGTGGCTGGCCCAGGCTGGCAGGGATGCTGCAGCACTTTTTTCTTCCCCACAGGGCAGCACAGCTCCTGCCCCCAGCCTATTACACACTTCATCGATGCCACAGCCACGCGTCGGCACCGACCGATTTCACGCTCCGGGAGGCAGAGCAACGGCCCTGGCTTCGAGTCTCATTCACACTAGGCTGGGCAGGGCAACCCCGCTGCTTCCAGACTCCAGGACCAAGCTTGTCCCGCAAAGCCAGGCAGCAACGTGCCTGTGCTGCCCTAGGTGCCACCCTGCTTTTCGGAGCCGGCTAGCAAAACAGCACAGCGTTGCGGCATCAAGCAGGGAAAGGCAGCCCCAGACTGGGCACACCACGGTACCATGGTAAAAGTGGCGCTGGGAGTGCTGCCCAGCTGCCTGGCACGTAATGCCCGCTGGCCCAGTGCAACACAGCCTGGCGTGGCTAGGGCAATGCTGGAGCATCAGCCAGGAGGTGGCTGGAGCTCCCCGTGGGCACAGGCTCCCCTCACACCATCCCCAGGAACATGCTGCTCATGGGGAGCTTGTGCTCATGGCTCGAATTTGTGAGGTCTCAGAGCAGCCGCTTGGGCGACGTACCAGCCTGCGTTCCTCCTCTAGCGACCGCCTGCAACACAGATGGGAAGCGTTTTCTCCCCGATCTCTCTCCCCCTCCTTTTTGGGGAAAGACCCCGCAAACAACAGCAAGACAGGGCCGATCACATCGCAGACCCTACTTCACACTGCACAGCACATCACCAAATTCCTCCATCACCTGCATCCCCACCCAGCAGGTGAGGACACCTATGGTGCAGCTCCGACCGCAAAGCTGTCTCCTGCTGCGGGCAGAGACTCTGGCCATGGCCCCATGCAGGGAGCCCGGGGATGGGTGCGGATGCCGGGCTGTGAGGCTCACACAGAGTGTGCCAGTTCCCAGAAAAGTTTTGGTGCCACCCAGCGCCCTCCCAGCAGGCTGCCGCATTTCCTAGCAGGGAGCTGTATTTTTAGCCTCCGAGGTTTCTAATTCCACTCAATCCATACTCCCGTCGATAGAGCAGATAACCTTAAAGCCTTGACGGTGAACGGGGACGGCAGTGCCGGGGGACCAGGAGCCTTGGGGGACCACGTGCAGCCTTGGCATGCAGCTCGTGCACCCGCAATGTCACTCTTTACAGCCTGCCGCAGCTTGGGCTCTTTGGAGGGGGAAAAAAATAAATATAATAACAAGACTAATAAAAAGGCAGGTACAAGGAGATTCTAAACAGCCCCACTGGGGAACCCGCCGCTCACAGGGCTCATCCCATGCCAGGCACGTGCGGCGGCACGCTCGCCGACTGCACAACTCCGGCACCCAGCAGCCCGGGTAACGATTGTCAGAGGTTTTGGCTCCTGCTCTCAGCAGAGCTCCAGCCCAGCCTGCCCAGCTCACACAGCAGGCGACAAGGCCAGGGAAGGACCCGGATACCTGGCAGGGAGAGGCAGAGCGAAGGCAAGAACACAGAGCCACCAGCACAAGGCAAAGCAAAGTGCTTCAAGGAGTGGAGAGCCGCATCCCATCCGACGCCTGCCTGGAGCCCCACAGGCTTTAAGATGTCCCTGTCCCCTGCTGCTGGGAAAAAGATGCTCTTCAGCAGCTGGAGAAAACGCTGGCTATGTGAGGAGGCAGCGAAGGCATCAAAGGCACTGAGAAAAGAGAGAGATTTCAATCGTGCCTTTCACTTGTGATGCTCTTAGGAGATACCTGGAACAAGAGAAGGGGAACGTTTCAGAGAGGAGGGGGATTTGTAAGTCGATAGTGTCCCCTCGCAGCTGCAGGGAGAAAAAGGGACAAGAAACCAGCAGGAGTTAACAGCTGGAGGGCTAAGGGGAATACAAAGGACTTTACAAATATACCCAGGCAGAATCAGCACAAAAGTGAAAAGGTCTATTAATAAACAAGAAGAGAAAGAAAATTAATGATGGCTCAAAAATAAAGTTGACTCAAGAGGGCAAAATTACTGTTTTTAACCAGAAAAATGCAAATGAGGTGGAGGCCTCGCAAAAACAGCTGCAGGGAAAGCAAAACCAGCATCTCCACATAGACACGGTCACCTGGCTGGCATGGCCAGCACCGAGACAAACCGATTAACCCGCCGACACACACACGGTGCCAGGAAGAAACCGGGGCCCTGCTGATGGGCAGAGCAAACCAGGCGCTGATTTTCTGTGCGAGAAAGGACAATAAAAAGAGCCGGGCACAGGATAAACCCTGTGCCCATCCCTAGCGCAGCACATAATGTCCGGAGGAAGGAGCCTGCACACCCACCGCGGCGGGCTCCTGGATGAAGGTCGTTGGCTTGCCCAGCAGTAGTTATTTTGGAATAATTGCTGGGCAAAGCTTATGTATAAGGCAAGCGAGATGCAATTTAGCTGAACTTAAGGGTATCGTTTTATACCATCTCCCAACCTTTCACTTAAGTAGTGAATTGTAATTATATTTGTAGATGATACCAAGCAGAGAGGTGTTGCAAACACTGGCCAGAGCAGAGAAATGATTCAAAGGATCCGAGAAATGTACGCAGGAAACAAACGAGACCCAGCCTGGGAAAATGAAGGTAAAATAACCCGAAGCAGCTACTTGGTGGGCAGGAGCAGCCTGGAAAGCAAGGCCCAGAACCCTGGGCGTGCTCAAACCGGAGGGCAGGTGGCCAGGGTGACCACTCCAAAACATGCAAGGGGCAAAGCCGGACACTGGCATCATGCCACGGGCCACCCCAGGGCTGCGACAGCCGCACAGCGGGCAGCACACAGAGCCCTGCAGGCAGCGTGAAGGATGGAGGGGACTCCGAGGGCAGGCAGGCAGCCATGAAAAACAGCACCCAGCGCCTGGGAGCACGGGGCACATGTTTTACGAGCCATGGGAGCCCAGTGCACCGAGTGCCCGGGGATGCCGTATAACTCCCCTGCCCTTGAGGGCTGTCACTGCCAGCATCACCCCATGATCCAATAAGTTGGGGAGAGT